TTGGAATTGAACTTCCTTACAGCATTGCGACTGGCAACAAGTGAAAAACATTTACTGGAAGCAGAGAATGGGTAGGAGAAAAATCAAGTGCAAAAATACATGCCCTTACATACAATGAAGTGGTTGAAAAGTTCATGAAAAACTTTCCATATTTAACCTTCTAATGAAAGTGGCATTCCCTTGTATTTACAAAATTTTACTTATTTGTTTTTGTTGTTAAATTACAGTACATGATTTTTCATTGTGATGTTATTTCTTTTTCTTTTCTTTTTTTTTTTGAAAAAGGGAAGGAGGGTAAAATTGAAACCTAATAGCCGTGGTATTTACTTTGGTAACCTTATATTTAAACTTCCGTCAGATGTTGCTGGTCTCGTATACATTTATTGCAATAAGAAATGTAAACCTCCCAATTGAATCCCCAATTGCCATCTATTTGAATAATTATTAGCATTTTCAATTTAAGTATGCCCCATCATGAGCATGGCACTGCTAAGTACAGGTTTACCAATATTGTCTAGCCATACATCATAAACAACAGGGTATTTCCCATGAAGATTCAGGTAGACAGTGACACTTGATATCATACATATAATAAAAACTTTTTTTTTTTTTCACTTGTTCAAGTGTTTGGAGCAAATATTTAATTTCCAGAAATCACTTTGAAATATAAACTGTTGACACAGACATATGTCTTGCCAGTATGTAATTTTGATAGTAAAATGCAAATGTTAAAATTAAAATAGCAACTGTCAGACATGACCTTATCTGAAAGGTCACTGACCGAAATGGAAGATTGGGATTTAGGTCACCAAATTTTTTTTAACAGAAATATTTTCAGCCATTTCATTGAGATTGGGTTTTTTTAATTGCTATTTTAGACTTATTTTTTGATTTTCTGGTAATAAGATTGCCTTTGTTGATTCCGTGTGAATTTAACAGTTCGAAAAAAAGACCCCAACTTTCAAGTCATCTCAAATGTACCAAAATTGTGAGATTAAAAATTCTGAATCCTTGCTCACTATAGCTTTTATTCACAGTAATATCAAATCTAATACTGTTCCATTTGGAAAAAATAATGATTTCAACTGCAAATACAGAATTTAATGCAAATGATGAATTTTTCTAAATATGAGACCACTATTGATGGGAAGCTCAGTAGAGCTATTTTTGTGTATCTATTTATGATGTAAACCATGACTATCTAAATAAAGTTTTTTCATTATGTTTTTTTATCACTATTTACTTTTCATGGTGATCAATGTTATAATTTGTGTAAATTGAGCATAAATCTGCCTTCAATATAAAAATAAGAAGATGTGGTATGATTACCATTGAGACAACTCTCCACCAGAGACCAAATGACATATAAGTTAACAACTATAGGTCAACGTATGGCTTTCAACAATGAGCAAAACCCATACTGCATAGTCAGCTATAAAAGGCCCCGAAATGACAAATGTAAAACATTTCAAACAAGAAAACTAACAGCCTGATTTATGTATAAAACAATGAACGAAAAAAAAAAATGATATGCAGCAACAAACTACAACCACTGAATAACAGGCTCCTGATTTGGGACAGGAACATACAGAATGTGGAGGGGTTAAACATGTTTCCTGTTGTGCCAAACCCTCCCCCTAACCTGGGACAGTGGTTTAACAGTACAACATAAGAACAAACTATAATAAAATGCTTCGCTGGGCGCAGCTTGATACGACCGCAGAGGTCGAACCCTGAACAGTTGGGGCAAGTATGGACACAACATTCAAGCTTGATACAGCTCTGAACTTGGATTGTGATTAAATATTTGACAAAGCATAGGTTTCTGACACAGAATGACTGTGGTCTAAGAACTTAAAATTTTTTAATTTACCTATTATGGTCCAATATCCAAAATCTAAATACATGGTTAGATTCAGCATATCAAAGAATCCAAAGAATTCAATTTTTGATGAAATCAAACAAAGTTTAATTTTGGACCTTTTTGACCTCAATGTGGACCAATTTGATAACGGGGCCCAAAAATCAAAATACATGGTTAGATTCAGCATATCAAAGAACCCCATATATTCAATTTTTGGACCCCAACTTGGACCAACTTGAAAACTGGGCCCATAATCAAAAATCTAAACACATGTTTAGATTCAGCATATCAAAGAACCCCAAGAATTCAATTTTTGTTAAAATCAAACTAAGTTTAATTTTGGACCCTTTGGACCTTAATGTAGACCAATTTAAATAAACAGCTGCGCCATGAGCGCATGATACGCTCGTCGTCTTGTGTTTGAATTTTTATGCAATAAGCATAAATAGTTTCTGACATACGGCATAACATGCGAAAACCCCCTTTTTTTTTACAAAAACTCAATATCTCTAAAATAAAATTTTGAATCAAAACCAAAAAGTATACAGATCTTTAGATTAATATAACTAAGAAGTGTGTAAAATTTTAAGCAATAATCATAAATCGTTTCAATATCTCTAAAATAAAATTTTGAATCAAAACCAAAAGTATACAGATCTTTTGATTAATATAACTAAGAAGTGTGTAAAATTTTAAGCAATAATAATTAATCGTTTTTGAGATACGGCGCGACATGTGAAAACCCCCCTTTTAAAAAAAAAATCAATATCTCAAAAATAAAATTTTGAATCAAAACCAAAAAGTATACAGATCTTTAGATTAATATAACTAAGAAGTGTGTAAAATTTTAAGCAATAATCATAAATCGTTTTTGAGATACGGCACGACATGTGAAAAACCCCTCCCCCTTTTTTTACAAAATACTCAATAACTCAAAAATAAAATTTTGAATCATCACCAAAAAGTAAACAGATCTTAAGGTTAATATAACTAAGAAGTGTGTAAAGTTTTAAGCAATAATCATAAACTGTTTTTGAGATACGGCCCGACTTGTGAAAATCCCCTCCCCCTTTTTTAACAAAATACTCAATATCTCTTAAATAAAATTTTGAATCATCACCAAAAAGTATACAGATCTTAAGATTAATATAACTAAGAAGTGTGTAAAGTTTTAAGCAATAATCATAAATTGTTTTTGAGATACGGCGCGACATGTGAAAAAAAACACACACCTGTTTTAGTTACTAAGTCAGGTAACTCAAAAAGTTTTAATCTTATTTTCACCAAAAAGTATACAGATCGTTTGACCATCATAAGAAACAACTATGTTAAGTTTCATGAAATTTGGATAAGTCATTCTCAAGTTACGGTGCGACATGTTTACGCCGGAGAGACAGACGGACAGACAGACGGACGAACACCGGACATTTGTACACCATATGACGGGCGTATAAAAAGGGACCCAAAATTAAAAATCTAAATACACGGTTAGATTTGGCATATCAATGGTTATCAAAGAACCCCAATAATTCAATTTTTGATGAAATCAATCAAAGTTTAATTTTGGACCCTTTTGACCTCAATATGAACCTTTTGATAGCAGGTACCACAAATAAAAAATCTAAATACATGGTTAGATTCAGCATATCAAAGAACCCCATATATTAAATTTTTGTTGAAATCAAACAAAGTTTAATTTTGGACCCCAATCTGGACCAACTTGAAAACTGGGCCCAAAATCAAAAATCTAAATACATGTTTAGATTCAGCATATCAAAGAACCCCATATATTCAATTTTTGTTAACAGCAAACTAAGTTTAATTTTGGACCCTTTGGACCTTAATGTAGACCAACTTGAAAACTGGACTCAAAATTAAAAATCTAAATAACGATCAGATTCGGCATAACAAATAAATAAATGTGGTCAAAGATTTTACAAATCTAATGCGCCATACTGTGCAATTAAAGATTACTTCTTGAAATTTTTCAATATTTGAAATTTGAAAAAAAAATAATATTTGAAGAATAATTCTTTTTAATTTCTGAAATCTGAAATGAGAAAAAATTGCCCCCCCCCCCCCTTTTTCCCCAAAAAATTCTTTCCCTCAAAATATGGTCATAATCTCAATTCAAATTTCCAATGGAATTTGCAACCATAATTACCCATTTAAATTTACCATAGTGCTAACTTAATATATTTTATAAATGGTGTCAAATCTTTCATATGGATTTTTTTGTAAAAAAAAAAAAGATGCAACATTTGCAGATATTTTTACTGGTCTTCCTTTATAAATATGCATTTCTTTAAACATAATTTAAAAGCAGTGTAAGGGAAGTAATCTAAACGTTGTATTTGGATTACCTCCCTTACACTGTTTTTAAATTGTTTTAATTGTTCATTAACCATTACTTTATACATAATTTAAAAGCAGTGTAAGGGAGGTAATTCAAATGATGTATTTGATTTATCTCCCTTACACTGCTTTAAATTATGTTTTGTACTGAAGTATTTGTCCATTAACCAGGACAACCTTGTTTTCCCCCCTTTTTCGCCCCTAATTCCTAAAAGGTTTGCGCCATAACCCCCGAAAGCAAATCCTAACCATCCCTTTGTGGTATGGAAACTTGTGGTATAATTTCAGAGAGATCCATACACCGTTCCACAAGTTATTGTCTGGAATCTAGAAAATGCTTATTTTTGGCCCCTAATTCCTGAACCATAACCCCCAAAATCAATCCCAACCTTCCTTTTGAGGTATATAACCTTATGGTAAAATTTCATAGAGATCCATTTACTTAAACTAAAGTTATAGTGCAAAAACCAATGTGTCTTCGGACGACGACGACGCCAACGTCATACCAATATACGACTGCAAAATTTTTTGCAGTCGTATAAAAATCTGTTGAAAAAGGCTTAACTCATCAGATCGATACAAAGCAGAAAAGCAACTAACAAAAACACGGACTAGATGTGGCAGGGTATTTTTACATCCCCACATGTTTAGTGATTGTGATGCTATAAGCATGGTGTACTTAACTGATATAAAATTCAGTAACAAAATTTTTTTTTCTTCATTTATTATGGTCAATATATGCTTGTTTGGTTCTAAAAAGGAGTTGTACAAGTCAACTTACCACTTAACATCATCTGTGTGTCCAAGATAATGTCTCTGCGTTTGTTCTTCAGGATTGTGGAGCACCACCACACCAGCACAGAAGTAAATGACCTCTCCATTCAAGTAGTACAGATTGGACCTACAATCTCTACCTCTATATCCAAAACTGTATATCAGTTAAGGAATTTTTTTTTCAAATTAAGATGCATAAATAATTTGAAGCTTATATCGCTTGCATTGTATCTACACATAAAACTGGTTCAGAATGCAAGAAATGTAAAACAATATTACAACATGCCACTTAATCAAGATATAGCTTTTGAACCTAGACATCTTTAGATGATTCAAATCTAGTTTAAACTGGTCATGTTGTGTCATATATTTGAGTTACGTTTTTTTCAGGAATAAATTAATGATACTATGTACTTCGTCACAATGGTGGTGGCCATAATAGCCGATAGACTGGGTCATTGGATAGATTGATTGCGTTTTGGTGTATAACGCCCCCCACCCCCCTCTTCAGTACTATTTGCTTTTTCCTGGTGGCCAGTTTTTATTGGAGGAGGAAGCTGGAGTGAACCATAACCATCAGCAATAAAACTTGTAATCCTTGTCAGTTAGAATTAGAGTCCAAAGCACCTGCCAAATGCAGGTTTGGAACCTCAGTGTTGACAGGTTAGTGATACAGTAGATAAACTAGTTAGACCAATCAGCCAACGAGGCATTCTGGGTCATTTGATAATTTTCTTAACAACATCCTTGTCAGAGCTAGTTTGAATTGGACAATTTGATATATAATTTGTCCTACTGTCCTATTCTTTGTGCTTTGATATGAGTGGTAGATTCAATCAACAAATCTCAAAACATTCATTAGTTTTAAGATTTCAGGACTTTATCTAGGTATTGCAAAAAAAAAGGTTGATGAGAAGTTTTTTAGAAATTGTTATGATGTTGGAGAAATATAGAGAGCTAATTTGTGCTCTGATCATAATATGACTAGACCTTTTATTACAGGTAAGTTTCAAGCCAAAATGCATGTTTCTGTCAGATATAATTATGCTCTGTTGTCCGTTTGACAGTAGTATGGTACCAATCAACCAACTCTGTTATTCTTTTTTTAACAATAGTAATGGTTTGAGATTTCTTTCACGTCTCTATGTCTAAAATTTAATATTCATTATAGATCATACAGAATGTTGAGATAATTCCCCTTCCCTAATAGTTCCCTAGAAAATTAAGTTAAGATTAGGTGACCAAAAGCAGAAAAAAAACAAAAAAGGATTGACCTATTACTTACAACAAATAAAATACTGTCACAACAGTTCTAAATGTTGATCGATCAACCATAAAAATTTGTAAGGGTTCCGCGGAACCCAGTGTCTCGCCTACTTTTGCTGTTAATCGCAGGCTCAACAAAAATGAGGAAAAAAATTAATAAAAATATTCCTCTCTATACTATCTTTTGATTGTAAGTAGCTTCTGTCCAAGTTTGGTAAAAATCCAGGATAGTTTATGAATCTAATAAATGTTTTAAAAACTTAAACTGCAGACTGTATGTAATGTTAACTGGAAGAAAAACTAAATCCATTTATATGTAAAATACGGAAAAAATGGAACAAAATTTTAATAAAATTTCCTTCTAGATACTAGCTTTTAATCATAAACAAGCTTGTGTCCAAGTTTGGTACAAATCCAAGATAGTTTAAGAAAGTTATTAAAATTTTCAAAAACTTTAACCACAGAGTGAATGTAATGTTAACTGGCAGAAAAACTAAGTCCATTCATAAGTAAAATACAGAAAAAATGGAACAAAATTTTATCAGAACTCCCTTCTAGATACTAGCTTTTAATCATAAACAAGCTTCTGTCCAAGTTTGGTACAAATCCAAGAAAGTTTAAGAAAGTTATTAAATTTGAAAAACTTTAACCACAGAGTGAATGTAATGTTAACTGGCAGAAAAACTAAGTCCATTTATAAGTAAAATACGGAAAAAATGGAATTTTTTTTTTACAAAATTTACTTTTGGGTACTATCTTATGATCATAAACAAGCTTCTTTCCAAGTTTGGTAGAAATCCAGGATAGTTTAAGAAAGTTATTAAAATTTCAAAAACTTTTAACCACAGAGTGAATGTTATGTTTCCTGGCAGAAAAACAGTCCATTTATAAGTAAAATACAGAAAAAATGGAATTTTTTTTTTACAAAATTTACTTTTGAATATTATCTTATGATCATAAAAAAGCTTCTGTCCAAGTTTGGTAGAAATCCAGGATAGTTTAAGAAAGTTATTAAAATTTCAAAAACTTTAACCACAGAGTGAATATTTGTGGACGCCGCCGACGGAATGTAGGATCGCTATGTCTCGTTTTTTCGACAAAAGTCGAAGGCTCGACAAAAATTGGGTTAAGAAGATGGCAGTTTTTGCTCCATGTTGAAGGCCTCACTATGACTTTAAGATTAGGAACAGCATTCACAGCACTGTTCCTTCGCTTTTTGTGTTTTTTGCTGTGCATGTACTGATTTTGTGTCATGGATGGATATCCTTTAATATACTGCAGCTGTGCTATTCGCGCAGTCAAATTGCATTGACTGTATAATCATTTGTGATATACAGTCACTAACCGTATATCGCCTTGTTTACGACGTTGACAATGTGTTTCCATAAGAGTTTTATTTATGACATCAAAATCGCGGAAATTTTACGTCGTTTGCTCCATATTAAAAAATGGTTTTTACCCTAAATATTTCATTTGGAACAGTTGTAGGAGTTGCAGTATTTAAAGAATAACCATATATTGTCCTGAAATATAAATTTTATTTGTACTCAGCTCAAAACAGGATAGAAATGCTCGGTAAAGCCTCGTTTACTACCTGTTTCTAAGCCTTGTACAAATACAATTTATATTTTCGAGACAATGTATGGTTATTCTATATTCCTTTCTTTTCTATTAAAACTTAATTCATGAACAGGTATTTGTAGAATGTGAAAAGGACCATTTGGAAAAGAGATATGAGATTCAGTTGAGATTTCAAATAAAAGGATACACATATTCTAGTTGTAATTTCTGGTCCGGTGTTGACACTTCTTTATCTACTGAATAATCTGATAAATCTGAGGGAGCATACAAACTGACTGGTCGTCCTCTCAGGTAAATTCTTAAATTTCCCTCCTCTGAAAAATACATGAAAATAAAATATAAATGAATATTCACAATTTAGAGTTAACTTTATCTGCCCATTTTATATATATATATATAAAAAAAAAAAAAAAAACAACAAAACAAATTAAATCAATTATATTCCTCTGTTATCAATGAAAATCAAAAGTTATCAAAGATAATAATCTATAAATTTTTGTTGTAAAAATATTTAACTGTTTTGGCAGAAAGTATTGTGATACTGAGGATTCATTATTATTCACGCGTTACCAATTTTCGTGGATTTCATAGGTAAAGGTAAACCACAAATTTATATGTTCAACGAAGTACAAATTTACTATAGGTTTGTGTGCAGATTTTGGAAAAATAACGAAATAAAATATCCATGCAACAACAATTTTCCACAATCCATGAAAATTGGATTCCATGAAAATAAATGAATCCACAGTATTTTAATAATAAAAATGTTGCAGGTAAAACCCTCTGATATTGTATCACTTATTTCTATTTTATATATTCCCATTGTATCGAGAATTGGTGAACAAGATACAGTTACATTTTACAACTGTTGTTTCTAAAATTGTATTGCTGATTGGTACTCTTCAACTTTCTAACCTTGACTACTTGTAATAAATTCAGCTAATTTGATCAACAAAATTCATTGTACCAAGTATCATTAACATCCTTCTCATCATTCAAATTGTATAGGCAGAATGTTCATTTTCATATGCAGAAAAATGAAAAGTGGTTCAATACATGGCTCAAGATAAGAGCTTACAAAACTATTAAAAATTAATCACTTCACTCTGAAATTCTGAATGACATTAACGGTGGAAAAGCCTTATTGTCAAGCGTCAAACCAAATGCCGTTGTTCTGCTAACGTTAGCATCAAATGAGCTTTCAAGATTTTATCATTGCAGATCACATCAAATTTTATAGCCCCCCGCCTCCCCCATCATAAAATAGAAGTTTCTTTACAATGATAGTTCCAAAAGGAAGAAATATTCTGGAATATTATTTCCACTCCAAGAAATATTACAGTATTTGTTCCTGATGGAACAAATAATATAGAACATTTGTTTCAACAGGAATGGATTCCATAGCATTGTTTGTAACAAAGTTTCCAGACGAATTCTGTTCAGAGCATTTATACGTTAAGCCTAAAACAGTGTAAAATATTTATCAATAACTTTATATTAACAAAACTTTTACTGTTAATTGTCATTTAGGGTACCCAATTCGCATTATCTTATATAAACAATCAAACATTGGTTTAAAGAAATTAATCGTCTGAACACCCAGTCACAGTCAAAGTGTAGAAAAGATATCTAATCACCTCAGTGGTCTCCCAGTATTGAGCTCTCCTCAAGGGCAGGAGGTTATGTGTTTGATCCCCTGCTGTGTCAACCCAAATATTTGAAAAGTAGTATTTTTTGCTTCTCCCTTTAGCATACAGTATTTAGGGAAAAAGAGCAAAGACTGGTCAGATCAGAATAATGTCTCGGGGTAGGGTAACATGTGTTTTTGCAGACTGTTACCTTGTGAATTAACACATTTAACATTTGACTTAGTTTGTTGGTTTAGTCTAACGCAGGGTTCATATTCATATCACATTAACAATTTCTCCTCCTAATTTGAATGTAATATTTGCCACTAGAGGTCAAACAACAATTTCTCATTATCCAAAGATTACCAATCAAAAACAATGAAAAAAATATTAGATAGAAGTGTAAAGCAAAAGATTAGAACAAAAAAAACAAACTGTATTTAAGCAAATGTCCAACAGACTGATTGACTTTCAATTACTTTATGTCCAGTGGCAAATATTTCATATATGTTCAATAGGAAATGAAAAACAGCTGTTATCAGAAAACATTTTATGTAAAATATCAAAGAATCACACACAATCAGAAAATTTAAAGTTTTTTAAGATTAACGACTAGACAAAAATAATGAAACAAGTAAATACTTTGATCTAATTAGTATCTCAGCAAAAAAGGGGGCTATATTAGCATTGGAAGTTATACCACATATGTTTCTGTTTTATAACATTTAAAAAATTATTTTGTGCACTGTTGTCTTTTTGCTGTATCTCTTTTGGCCATGGTGTGTTCTGTTTTTCCTTGACCTCTTGGTTCTGATTGTCCCTTTTTTTTCATTCCTCTTGGTTCTGTCCCCTTTATTTACCCTCCTTGGTATCTTTTTCTCTTTATTTACTCCCCTTAATTTATTCACCTTGGTTTCTTGTCCCCTTTATTTACTCTCCTTTTTACCTTGTCCCCTTTATTTACTCTCATTGGTATCTTGTCCCCTTTATCTACTCCCCTTGGTATCTTGTCCTTTATCTACTCTCCTTGATATCTTGCCCTTTATTTACTCTCCTTGATATCTTACCCTTTATTTACTCCCCTTGGTATCTTGTTCCCTTTATTTACTCCCCTTGGTATCTTGTTCCCTTTATTTACTTCCCTTAGTTTCTTTTCTTCTTTATTTACTCCCCTTGGTATCTTGTCCCCTTTATTTACTCCCCTTGGTATCTTGCCCTTTATTTACTCTCATTGGTATCTTTTCCCCTTTATTTTTACTCTCCTTGATATATTGCCCTTTATTTACTCTCCTTGGTACCTTGTCCCCTTTATTTACTCTCCTTGGCATCTTTTCCCCTTTATTTACTCTCCTTGATATCTTTCCCCTTTATTTACTCCCATTGGTATCTTGTCCCCTTTAATTACTCCCCTTGGTATCTTTCCCCCTTTATTTACTCCCCTTGGTATCTTGCCCTTTATTTACTCTCCTTGGTACCTTGTCCCCGTTATTTACTCTCCTTGACATCTTTCCCCTTTATTTACTCTCCTTGATATCTTTTCCCCTTTATTTACTCCCATTGGTATCTTGTCCCCTTTATTTACTCCCCTTGGTATCTTGCCCTTTATTTACTCCCCTTGATATCTTGCCCTTTAATTACTCTCCTTGATATCTTGCCCTTTATTTACTCCCCTTGATATATTGCCCTTTATTTACTCCTCTTGATATCTTGCCCTTTATTTACTCCCCTTGATATCTTGCCCTTTATTAACTTTCCTTGATATCTTATCCCCTTTATTTAGTCTCATTGGTATTTTGTCCCCTTTATTTACTCTCATTGGTATCTTTTCCCCTTTATTTACTCTCCTTGATATCTTGTCCTCTTTATTTACTCCCACTGGTATCTTGTCCCCTTTATTTACTAACACAATTAATATATTATATGCTTTTTGTCAAATAATATCATTTATTATAAACTTAGTAGTAAATACAGATAAATTGTATGTGTAATACAATTATTGGCAAGCGTGCTGTATCAGCCACCTGTGATGATATCGATATCAGCACGGTTGCAAAGGCTTTGTCACACCTTTAATCTGTATGACGTCACATCATCGATTTCAGTCACTGTTGCAAAGGCTTTATCAAACCCTTTCTCTGTATGACGTCATGTCAAACCTATAATCTGTATGACGTCATTTCAAACCTTCTTATCTGTGTGACGTCATGTCACATAAAAACATCTACATGAGGTATATGTATATAATAAAGTGTATATGATATGGCTTTTTCAATATTACACACCGTATCAACCCTCAATAATATCATTTATACAGATCATATCCCAAAAATCATAGAAGAGATTATCAATGCCTCAAACTTATGCAATCAAGGCGACAGAAATTTAGCTGATGACCACACATTAAAACAAAACAGAAATTCAGCTAATGACCAGACATTAAAAAGAAAACCATCACCAATCATCTACTTACTGATAACTGAACAGTTAAAAAGGAATGAAAATTACATTTTCTGATTATTCCAATTTTTAAATAATATTTATTCTTTAATACAAATATTCTAAATATACTGTATTAGAAGAGATATATCTCTATTCTTATGTGATTTGTTTGTAACAATAATTTTCATTAGACGTTGACAAATATTTTGAGGGGTTAGATTGCACGTTCTACCAGTCCACAACTAAGAAAGCCACCATTTTGAATTCCGATTTTTTTGGTATGTAATTTCTCAAAAAATAAACAAGAAAGTCACATTTTGTGCCTCAAAATCTTCTTTTTGTCAATATTGAAACCATTCAGAAGCGTACGAAAAGTATAAACACATCTAGTGTTTATGTTTAACATCGGGAGTATACATATGACGTCACATTGTTTAGATATCAAAGATGACGCGGCATTTCATTTATGTCATTTTTAATCCAAAATATCTATCAAATTGAATTTATTTTAATATGTGGCATTATAATAGAGATAACTGTATTGTATTTTAAGCTTGGCCTTCGTAAAACTTGATTTTACTATCGCTAATATCTGTTTACCTAGCTCCGCTACAAGTCGCTAGGTAAACTCAATTTGCGTCTGTTTCTCTTTTCCTGATCCTATGTACTTGATTATGAATTATGAATTACATGTATTAGCAACTTTATAACAAGACACCAAAATAATGCAAAATTTGAAAAATTGAACAATCAAAATGCCCTTCAAGAAATCTTTGGACTAAACTGCAACTTTGCATACTTATTATCCATAGACAAACCATACTATTTAGACCAATGGCAGCAGATGGCAAAGCCAGGAGAACTCTTTAGTAATTACAGACAATATTGATTTGATAATGAACTCTATATTACCTGAATTCCACTGGGGATCTTTAGAACTGAAATGTAAGATAAATATCAAATATTAACAAATATCTACCAGCATTTAATGTAACATGTGTCATGCAAATTAAAAAAAAAATATTGTAAAATCATAGACAACAAAGACATTTATAGGCAAAAAAAAAATGTAAACAAGATCTGATATTATATAATGTAGTTTTTTTTTTCAAGTACATGCATTTTTTGGTTGATTTGTCAACACTTGGGTGACAAATTCACCATGTTAAAACAAATAAAATGTCTAACAAGGAAAGACTGGTGCTTACGAAAAACAAAAAAAAAAACACAGAAAATTTTGCTAAATAATCATAATTGAAATACATGCACATATATAAATAAATAAATCAAAACAATATATTATCAATTGACAGATTTTCTTACTTTCGTCTGCTCCTATATAAACAATTTACAAAGCAATCTTTCCATGGTTACAAAAACCATTTGTTTTTTTATTGACATTACTTCCCTTTGAAATGAGGTAATGAAAATTTAGTAATCTATTTTTCTATTATTTTTCCAGATTTTTTTTTAATTTTCTGTAGATGAAAATCACTGCCAATGATAATATTACATATTAATAAATACAACACTGAAAAATGAATTTAATACACTATTTTCATATTACCAACTTTTGACTCTGGATTATATAATTTGTCGACTGGTTACCTAGGACATCATGGTACTCGGTCAAGAAAGAGCAACCAAAATATGTAAAATCAAACATATAATCGGCGTAATTTGAGGGGAAAGTTTATTGTTTTCCAAAGATTTTGTAGTGAAAAAAAAATGTTAAGCAGGTAATTTTCCCCCAAAATTGTACCGATTGAACGCTTGGTTTTACTTCTTTAGCTTGCTCCTACCTGACTTGGTACCATGATGTCCGAGGTAACCAGTCGACAAATTATATAATCCGGAGTCAAAAGTCGGTAATATGAAAATAGTCTATTAGAAAACAAGGAAAATACACATGAAAAGAACTTCTGATTAAGTAAATAAAAGTGTTTATCTACATAAATAATAAACGATAAAAACTAATAACAGATATTAAGTGGTTTGGAGGACAACAAAAGGGGGAAAAGATAAAGGATTTTTCAGGAAAATACAAAGTAAACAGAAATCATTATTTCATGCATTTCTCTTCAAAAAGGAACATAACTGCACCAATTTTAATTTCCACATTTCATGTCTCTAATTAATTTTCAACGCATTAAATTCTACATATATTTTTCACATTTTTCAACATTTGTAAAGGAAATCACATTGAAGAAACCTTATATTACAATGAAACTTGTCCAAACCAAATAAATGTGGGACTAAAAAGTTTATCAAAATTGACAGGTATTAGGTTCAAACAGGTTTTATTATTGAATGTTCACTAAACACTCTAATGATGTATCAAGGGTATTTTTGTGACAGGTTTCATTGTCTATTAAAAAATTATTTACTAAAAAATAAAAAAAACTGAAAGAAAATCATAATTGAAAATAAATCAAAAAGAAAAATACATAAACACCATTAAAAATTACATACCATGGAAAGTAAAAGATTAATCATAGACATAAACATTTCTTTAAAGTATTGAAAGATTAAAAGATTATACAACGAGAAATATTAGTGGAAGGTCAACTAAATCAGGACAATAACATCAACCTACGCATCTAGAGAAATCATCATCGCATGTTCTACAACTCCAACCTCCATTTTGTTTTTTTTAATAAAATCCCATAAATATAAAAAAAATTGCACCTTCACTCAGCTGGTTATAAGTTGAATTAAAATATAATTACATCTGTTTATGTAATATCTAGATTTAAATCCTTACAATTAATTCTGTGTTTGTTCACTGGATATTTAAGTGAGAAAGTGAATGGAAAATTAAAAGAATTATTGCACTGCCATTCCTATACCAGATTAAGAGGTCGTTTACAAATATTATCCAAAGGTTAATCAAGTTTGGTCTTGGTTTAAAAAAACAAAGATCCAGGTACAAGCAATAAAAGTAAAAGAAGAAATTAAAGTCCCCTGTCATTATGCAGTACAAGTTAAACATGATAAAACTAAAAATAAATTGACTGGTTAAAAATGAAATATTTAAAAAAGAAACAAGAAATTACAGAAATTATAGTGAGAAGTGTTCAAACAGATGGGGAGATAAACAACATTTTATTATAAAATGTCCTTTGTCAAAAATCATATAAGAGGGGAGGGATCTTATAAAAGAAAATAAATACATAACAGAAACACTGGTAAACAAAAAATTAAGATAGAAAATCATTAATCATTTAAGAAATATTGAAGTCTTGAAAGAGTTCTGAAACATGATTTTTCAGTTCTGTAACACAGAAAGATTCTAATGATTCAATGAGAGTGAACAAAACATTGCATAACAAGTTGTAGTGTGTTACTACAGTTCTTCACTTTTCAGTGTTATCACTAGACATTTGAATATGATCTATTTTTTTTTTAATAACTAATTAATCCTTTATCTAAAGTTAATTTATCCAGATCTACAGATAAGCTACTTATATAATCTACCAATAAGGAATAATAAATGATACATAAATCTTTAAAGCAATGAAAAATAAATCTGAGCATGCACCAGCTAATATAGTTATATATATATGATAAAATCCCATAATTAAGAATGACAACAAAATGAAAAAAAAAAAACCAAAACAATGAACGAAACCAAGCTTCAATTAGCTTATAAAGTTATAAATGATACAATTCTTGAAAGCAATGGATGCAAAAACCGAGCTCCGATTGGCTAATAAACAGCAGCTACAATATAATTAATAGATGGAAGCATAATATATAAGTAGCCATACATGTTACTAGAGATAAAGGTATACAAATCCTGTTACCCTTGTTTTTGTTGAGTCCGTGATAACAGATTGGTCTGTGATACGCTACGTCTACAATGAAACAGGCCAACATGCTAGAGATTACAACACTGTAGAACATGCCCAACATGCTTTATCAAAAATACAGATATACTGATTGATGTTCTTATTACGTTATTATATCATGCTATATAAATTATTTTTAATATTGTTTGAGGTGTAAATTAAATGTCATTTTGAAGGGTTCATTTCCTTTTCACTTCCCTTCAGACATAAACCAGTATCTGATCAAAACTTGAGATCAGAAACAAAATAAATGGAGATGTACAATATATTACTTTTCCTAAAGATACATGTCTTTAAAGAATAAAGTCTTGTCGAGAAAGTTACTCCAACACTGCCATTTTTCTGACTGTGTGAGGTTTACAAAATGACTCTACAAAATAAGTCTTCGTTGAGAAAAAATGAGATTAAAAAATACCAATTAATAATAGACCTTTCACAGTTTATAAAACAAAACAGATCAATAAAACAATCAGAACTTATGTTGAAATGACCTTATATTCAAAACTGTATATGTGTCAGTCCCAAGTCAGGACCCTGTAAATCAGTGGTTGTCCTTGGTTACTCTCAATATTGTTACTAGTTTATTGTTTTGTTATAAATCAGATCTTTGGTTTTCTTGTTTGCATAGTTTCAGATTTTGTCATGTTGTGGCCTTTTATAGCTAAGTTTTGCTCTTTATTGATAGCTGTGCTGTGACCTATAGTTGCTAACTTCTATTTCACAAAGTCTCTGTTTGGATAGTTGTCTCTTTGGCGACCATATACCACATCTCCTTTATTTCTATATATGTGTCAATAGTTGTTGTGTATCATATAATGTTTTTTCGTTATTTGGAGAGTTGTGTGTGATGATAGTAGATCTTTAACTGTTTCTGTAAAATTTACACACAACTTCTTTTTAAAATTGGAATGATTAAAAGCATGAAATATTGTACAGACACACGTTTTTTGTTCTAAACTGTATGTTGCGGTCTAGATGTCTTATGGTTGTTTTTGTTATTTGGTTGCTGTCTCATTGATGTATACCCCATATCTCTTGTTATTTAAATGTGGCAATGCAAACATTTCTTTAGGTTTTCCCTGATTGGTATGACAGTCGAACAGGAAACATCACACTAATTCAATGTTTTTGTCGAAATTTGAAGTTTAGACTTAAGCTTCGCTAGACCTACTGTCCCATATAGCCTAGAGAATTTGAATATTCAGTTTATTTCAAATAATAAGACTCTTCAAAAAATTAGAAACTTTTCAGTGAGATCTAAAAGCCCAATTTGGAGAAAAAATCTTCTAAATTCCTCCTCTTTCATCAAAATTTTTCCTATCAAAATTTACTTTTTATTTCAAAACAAGATTTGTTTATACAACACATACTGTCTTAACTACCTGACATGACGTATTAACTAAATAATTTATTAATGATTTGATTCATTTTAAGGTTGAACGAATTGTAAGCATTAATAATAATTGATAATTTTACTGCTAGAAGTACAGATAAAATATTGTGAAAACAACACAACATTTTCCCCAGGGTGAGATCTCCCATTTTTAAGGTTTGAAAAGTTTGACACTTACGATCATATCTAGGACAAGTTCTTAATTTTATAGCACTTTTTATAGCTTTATACTTTTTTTCTCATTTAGTTTTAATTTTGTTCATCATTAATGGAGAAGAATCTGATAAACCTTGACATGACTACATAGGAAATTAACACTACATATGCTGTATAAGTATTTATCTCGCCCTCAACAATTCGACCTTTACTGAAACATTAATTATTCATAGACAATAAATCAGGAACAGACAATTAATTGGTGCTCATTAGGTAAACAGCAGTGGCAGGTATCTTAGGTAACTAATGACCTTCCTTCATGTCATCTGCTATTATTTCAATTTCAAGGAGGCACATGATCACAGCAAATTAAATTAATGTTTTTTTTTTTTTACAAGTTTCTCGATTGAAGTCTTGAGATTTCCAATAAAGACAAGAAACCAGTAATTAGACATTTTGTAAATATTTACTTGTTGCCACGCAAAGTAAGTGAAATCAGCCGATCGAAAATATCAAATATACATTTTTGATGAGAGAAATATCTCAAGGGTTAGCCATATAATGAGCTATTATTTTATCTTCTCTCCATGATCAATTAATATTCCGGCCCTTAAGGCTACTATACTTATGCAAATATGGCTAAATTCCAACAACTGAACAAGGACATTTGAAAAACAGCATTTACATGCATATCATCAAAACTATTGAACAAAACAGGCAAAAGATATCTTTTAATATGAACCATACCAAATAAACACCAGCCAAAACATGTTGCACAAAAATACCTCTGAACAGTCTTTTATATGAAAATAACAAGGCTAGGAGAAATTTTTATGGTTTCAAACCAAATTTCTAACTTGACTATTAAACAAACAGTACAAAAAATTTGTTTATTTTAAAAAAAATAACTCATTATTTTATCCATGTTTTAGAAATTTTGAGCAGATGAAAATGGATGAAGGATATTTGTCTAGCGAAAAACATTATTTGCTTGCATATTCAGGATGACAATCATATCTTTTTTCATCAAGTTCATACTAGACCATAATGCCCATATCATTAGAAGTGTAGAAGTAACTATAAATACCAATGATTTAAGACCATTTTACCCTGGGCAAGAATCTTACTGAAAGTTGTAAATGGGATTCCAATTAATTTACAAATGGAAGATACAAGTCTTTATTAATTATTAACAATAATTTTATCAGACTATTAGTTTATATCCATGGACAATCTATGGAAACGAAGGTAGCACAATAAAACGGTTTCCACAGTTACGATATTGATGTTTGTTACATACATTTGTACTAATTAAAGCTTTACCTTTACAGAACTTTTGAATGAAAATTTTTGCAAGAAATATTCTTCTTGATTTATAAATATATTTTTCATATAAAACCTAAATTAGTGTTTTCCAAAGAAATAATAAAATTGCTCCTTTGAATGTAAGACTTTAAGAAATAACAACCTATTTTCCATAGATCTATAGTAGAAGAACCAGAAATAGTTTCATGAAGTTTTGTCATTGGGTTGCTGTCACATTGTCATATATCCCACATTTACTCTTATTCATATTTACACAATCTAATAATAAAACCTCAAAAATTTGCATTTTATTTACACTAACAGGATGTCAGAAGATGAGAAAAATTACATCATCAACATCAAAGTAAGCTTATCCATAGACAGTGATGATATCACAGATGTGATCATTTTCTAAAAATTTCCTTGGTGAGTTCTAACAACAAATTCTTTTTCATTCAACCTAGTAGTCATTTCCTTTAACAAGCAACGACTTCTGTTTGCTACACATGTACTTTGTATATAATTCTAGAAACTGCTGGAAAAAAGTAATCATATAGGAAAACCACTCTTATCTTATATATATTTTCTTGCAACTTAACATTTTTTTCTTTTCAAATTTCAATGAAAGCTATTTAAAACAAACCATAGCAATGGAATTCAATTATTCATAAAAAAAACCTTGAATCTCCAGCAAATTTAGAGGAATATTTTATCTTTAGCTCTAACAGAATACAATATATGTACATTTTACTAGTTGCAAGAAAAAATACAGTTGGGAATATTTTCACTGAAACAAATTTACAACCTTAAATATAATTCAGAAGAGTAATACAAGCTTCCTTTGATATGCAAATGTAAAGCAGAAGAGAACAGTATCGTTCATATACAAGTTGACAAAGATAGCAAATTAGCATGCTTAGAGCATACATGAACTTAAACAGAACCGATATGCATGTACATGTATTTTCGAGCAGAATTTGACAATTAATTAAACTATCATTCTTTGTATACATGACAACGAATTATCAGGCAAAATAAATTTGACTTACTATTTTTTGTTTTTACGTTGAGCCATTTTTCTGTTCACACAATAAATACCCAGATAATTAACATATAGATTTTAGTCACATGATCTCTATTCGTTATGAATGAATGATCACATGACCAGTAATGTGACAGAAATTAATCAATAGCTCAAGAGAACTGTAACATACAACATAAAAAAACACATCTATATACATGCAAACAGTAAATTAGTAATTCCCATGTGAATAATATATACCAGGCTATAAAGTATTTATCTCTGATCAAATAAATGAGGAACAAACATATGGAATTTAACTTACAGCAATTAAATAGAATATAACATGGACAAACAGTGCATTTAGTATATAATTTATGAAAATAATAAAGGTGAAAGATAATAAATATAATTATCTGCAAATTTTCTTATATATATTAAATTTCAAATGTGAGATATTCTAAAGACATTGTTGCTTAGTAAACAAAGCTAGTAACAATGAACTTATGAATTAAGTTGTAGCCTGGGGTAAATTAATATCAGTGATCACGCTTAATTTCACACACATATTTATAAATGAAAATTATTGTATGGATTTTAGTGTGTATTGCACACATGAGTGTTTCATAAATTACCTACATCAGTTTACACTTATATCAACAGTAAGGGAAGCTGAATACATATAACTTTGGGAGCATTTAAACAAAGGACGAGCATAAAATAGACAAAACCATGAGGGATTGTCAACCAACGTTTTAGTTCCATTACATACAATGTAATATTGACAACAAAAAAGGAACTTCATAAAATGGTTGAATCTTCTGAGGAAGACATCACATGAGCCCCCTGCTGTTTACAAATAATATATTAAAGCAGAAATGGCAAAGTCCTTGTTTTGATAAGGGAAACTCCAGAAATCAAAACATACAAAAAATCAAATACTTATTATAGCAGATAGCACAAATTCATGTTCGGTAATCTGTGCAAGTTTGGTTGTATTTTGTCATGCCGTTTTCAAGGAGTTATGGTTTTACAAACTGATATAAGCAGAATGGGCAAGTTGATGTATTGATATGGGAAATGGCAAAAATCACACAGATCAAAAATTTAAAGTGTAGATGCACAACTTCATATCCTGATGAAGACTATGTGCAAGTTTGGATGAAACCTGTCTACATGTTTTTAGGGGGTTGCAGATTAAAGAATTGTGGCCGTGATGACGTGCATTATGACGACAGTAGTATTCCCTGTGTGTTGCCCCAGCAGTATTTTGTCACAATGAGGTAGAAAGCCCTTACAAATGTCAGTATAAAAGTTGTTTGAAGATCTTTATTCAATTTCTTCAAGCAGGATAAAGATGGCACTAATATCTAACTACTAATAACAGAAAGTTTACAAATGGCATTTATATCTGAATCTTTCCCTGCTCCAAAAATAGAAATGAATTGTATGTAAATTAATAAGAATACCTGACTTGATGAGATCCATTCAATTCTGTAGAGTTTGTCATTGAGCCCCATTTCTTGATTGGAGTTCTTGACTTGGCTGAGGATGGCGGTGTTGAATGTCTAGTTGGTGGTGTAACGTACACATTATCTAATGGAGTTCGTCTTGGTGTTCTAGAGGTTGTTTTGTGAGGTGTAGAAGACTTGAATACTGGTTTGGTAGGAAGAATGCTGTTCTGTGCTGAAATTTACAATAAATATAAAAATCATGCCATATTTCTAATTTTTTACTCCATACTTTTATAATTTAGTTTCTAATGGTATTTAGATTTTAAAAGATAAATAAAGAACCTTATCATTTCACATTTTAGGGGATTTTACAATGCTGAGGCTTTAAGTAACATGCATCTATTATCTGTCATCTCTAAACTTAAATAATTTACTGTGAAGAATATATGCTTTCTAAGGCCCAAAATATATATATATATCTGTTTCCTCCTGACCTACCCATGATTTTCATGCCTAACCTAAAACATTTTTGGTTAAGTACTGTTATATAGTCCAGACATTTTTCTTTAAGCATTGTTAAATTCCAGTCAATTTTCCTATATAGTCTGTGTAAAACATTTTCAAATAAATGAGAATGTGTCCCCATGGACACAGATGATGCCCCCTTGTGTTTTGTGGTAATAAGCATTGTGTACAAGTTTCATAACATTTGGTTGAGGCAACTTAAGTTAGAGAACAGAAAATAAAAATTTTGCATTTCTTTTCCATTTATAAAGGGACATAACTCAAATTCAAACTTGATCTGTATTTTGTGGTAATAAGCATTGTGTATAAGTTTCATAACATTTGGTTGAGGCAAACTCAAGTTAGAGAACGGAAACCAATTTTGGGACGTACAGACGGAAAGGGTAAAACTTAATGCCCCCTCCGCTACAGCGGGGGCATAAAAATAAAATTATTTTATCTACCTACCGTCCAACCAGATTTTTTTTTGACTGAAGGCAAGAAACAGTTATATAACTAACCCAACTACAGCATGGTCTAAGACCTACTGTCACAATAGATAATTAACAAGATGGATGTTTAATGACCAGTAGCCAATATTACATTCATATTCAGGTCGAAAACATGTAAATGTCCCAGTTATACATCAAAATATCCTGTTTAAACCTTACAGAAGCACTATGTCAGATTTTTACATACTAGTTTTTTTCTGATTTCTAGCCAAAAAATCTTTGATTTTACTCCTAATTGCTGTGTGCTTAGCAAAACAGTAAATATTATTTATAAAGTCTTTTGGTTAACAATTGCAACAATCAAACTCACAACTCCTCCAATTTTCCATACTGAAATTTGTAACAAGCTGTTTTTTAGTAATATTGTGCTACTGATAGCAAGTCCTCTAATTTTTCTAAATTTTATAACCTGATGTTCAGTGGTTGTCGTTTGTTGATGTGGTTCATAAGTGTTTGATGGTTTTACACTAGTCATAATTGGGGCCCTTTATGGCTTGCTGTTCGGTGTGAGCCAAGGCTCCGTGTTGAAGGCCGTACTTTGACTTATTACGGTTTACTTTTACAAATTGTGACTTGGATGGAGAGTTGTCTCATTTGCACTCATACCACATCTTCTTATATCTATTATATGTTATTTTTAGAAACAAGTAGATGGTCAGATATATAATTGTCTGTGATTCTGATGAGATATAATATATTCTTATTCAATTATTTTTTTTCTCAATACAGATATTGACCAATTTTTTTTTTTACTTCATCTTAAAAAATCTATTTTAAAAGTGGGTGTTGTGAAAATCCATGGATGGTACCAGAGGGATTCGAACCCTCAATCTCGGGATCTAAAGGCAGTGCTCTAACCAATTGAGCCAAAGAAGATATTCCATAACTCTACCTTTATATCTCAAGGTCTACAACACTCTTCCCCCTTTTCTTTATTCGGCTGCGTACCATCCATCCGAGCAACTCACAGGTCCACTACTGTACAACCCCGAGACATCTACCCGGTACTCGGAAATCCTCTGGCCAGTTCCCTGCATGCCACCTAGACATGTCCCGGTCATCCTATGACCTAGTCAACCCTCATGACCATATCAAACTGCCAGGCACTTATATGTACCATAAGTAGATGCTCGCCATTGTTGTGAAAATCCATGGATGGTACCAGCGGGATTCGAACCCTCAATCTCGGGATCTAAAGGCAGCGCTCTAACCAATTGAGCCAAAGAAGATCTTCCATAACTCAACTAGTTAGGCTACCTTTATATCTCCAGGTCTACAACAGTGGGTAAATTGGTTTTTTTTATGGAGAAAGGTAACAAATCATAAAATAAAATTAAGTTAATCCAAAGTCATTTTTGTTTACAAATCGGCAAAAAGTAGCAATACAAGACACTGTTAGTTTAACCTTTGCATCCAAAAATGCTTTATAAATTTTATGTATTCGAAGTGCTTTTCTGGATTTGTTTTCATCAGGAACGCATCAACTGGCTTCACTGAGAAAATCTTAAATTTAAAAAAAAAAAGGGGTTTCCAACCCACAGAACATACCCCCCTTGATCCACAAATGCTATAGGGAACATTTTGTCTTAGTTTAATATTGCCTGCAGACCTAAATAGTTCATAAAAAAAGATGCTCCAAGTGTTAATGATGGATGAGGTAACATATGTGATAACTTTTCATAAAAATCACATATGCAGGCATTAGACAATTGATTTACTCATCATCAAAGATAGATGTTTGACTGTCTGTCTGGGAATTTTTGCAATAATTGTCATCCTGGATCAAAATCGATATATATGTAATAAAAATTACATAATTTTAACCTTGTATATAGAATTTTACAGCGTTACCTTTCAAGTAATAACCATAAAACTACTTTTATTTCTGCATCAGATAAAAAAAAAATGTTTTTGAGACGTTAACAGGTTTAAGATTTTTATCAGTTCAAGAGGAATAACTCAAAGCTAATCTTAAGTCAAGGAATTTTAAGACTGTAAAACCATTGTCAGCCTACATAAACACACCATAAAGAGCATTTAATTTATAGACTTCCTATTGTGAATAAGAAAAGAAAACATATTTATGTTAATTCATGAATTTTGATAATGGTAAACACCAAGTCAAGGTTTTATCTTATTTCTTCAGATATGCTGTATTTACATAACAAGGTCTTATTGTATAAATGTAAATGAAAATAAGAAATTTAAACCATAATCTACTAGTATATCTGAACAAATTCAAACAGAACAAATTTGTTTTGAATTTAGTTGTATGCAATTTATGAAGTCAAAATTGATTTGGGAAATGATAACTTTTATTTCTGTAAAAGGAGACTTTGAAGTATGTTGATTATCTTATTTTTTTTTAACAAAAAATTAACATTTTATTTTTTTTAAATTCATTGAAGTGAAAAAACTTCACTGAAGTTAACCCAATGCAGTCATTATCTGTTGCTCAAAGATGGCTGCATTAATGCCTTAATGTCTAGCCAATGACAAATTGTCGATCAATCATTCTGAATTAACTAATAAAGCATAAATATTTGCCTTTTTTAATAAAATTGTTCTGCCTGCTGAAATTCACTTTCTATCTCAGAGGGCACCAATCAAAATCCAGTATTTGTGGCACATTTTTATCATATAAAATATCATTCTGGATAAATTGAAGTGAGATATCTACAACTTTCATCCTGGTTTAAAATAATATTTCATGGAACAATTATCCTTTATCCTATATTCCTTGTAAACATTTATTTCAGACCTCACATTTCTTTTCAAAGAATATATTTTGTTTAATATTTTTGCAAACCTTTTTCTGCCTCTACTTGATTTAATCTCCTTAAGATATCAGCAACAGCGCTTTTAAGACAAACTATTTCGTCTTCTTGTACGCGAACTTTCTTTTCCAGGTATGTGACACGTTCACACACTTCCACCTGGTCCTGTCTTAGCAGACCATCTACAATCATACAAATGGTCACATGATATTAGAGAAAGTAATACATTGTACATGTAAATAATATTCAAAACACATATGCTCTTTTCAAGACCATTTGCATGAATATTTTTTGTGTGTAATTATAACTTCTAAACATGCTAAATGAGTGAATAAAAGACATATCGTAAACCTACTTTTTCTGCGACTTTCACAAGTGGAAATATAATGCAATTATAATAATAAATTGTCATGAATATGTAAAACTTGGATCTTCTCTTATTTCAAAATATCAAGAAAATTTGAAAATCATTAAATTAAATTACTGCAAAGTTGGCCAGAAAGGGCTAAATGCGAAATGAAGTATCCATTAAAATAAGTTTGATTACATTAATTAAATCTTAATCTTGTAATCAACATGATGAACACAATATATTGTTTGACTAGAGGTGCCCACTAGCCCTTTAACTAGAAAAAATATTGAAATTATGTCTTTACATGCAGCTTGTGCTTCTTTTTCTTTTAAGTTCAAAATCTTATTTTCTTTATCAATTTCAACATATTTCCAATGTTGCATGGTGAAACTTAATACTTCTATAAATTCCAGGGAAAAAACATGCCCAAGAAGTATGGGTACAGAAATAGAATCATTATAGTCATGCCAGTGCTTTTCCTTTTTTTTAGCAGGAAAATTCTCCCCATTCATATTCTACAAAACATCAAATCTAAAATCAGGCATTCTTGTTGACAGCATGTGTCTTTGTACATGTACCGGTAATGTGAATTTGTTGCCTCTAATCTGGTTTCAATTTCAGGTGGGTTTGATTAACCCATTATTTGTTGTGCCAAACTGCTTCCAAACTAGTTTTAAATCATTGCTAGTTTTGCATTTGTTTCATGAAAACTGGAACCAGTTTCCTAAACTTATCAAACCTTATCATGTGGAGTGCAAAACCTAGAACAAATCCTTGTAAGAACTTTTGATTTGTTTCACAACTGGTAACTGAAACCTGTTTTATACCAAAAAGTAAACCATTCAAAAACTTCACCTAACTGAAACTTGTTTGATTGCAACAAATTCACCCTTAAGCTAGGATGTCCTAACATCTTTAAAGGAAGCTACTTTCACTTTTAAGCAAATATGCATCCAATGTATTTAATATTAGTCAATAAATTACTGGTTTATGCAATGTTCCCCCTTTATAAGGCTTTTGCTATAATTATGTATACATGTATATATGTGTTATATAAGGCTTTTGCTATAATTATGTATACATGTATATATGTGTTACAAGTATTACATTGTTTTAGTCACTGAATCTTCCACCTATTTGTATTACTGATACATGTGTGTATTAGGATATGTAAATCATACCTTTGCCACACCTTGAGAGATCCCCCTTACCTTGTTTAGGTTCACTTTGATCCTCCATTATTTACAGGTACTAATACTTGTCTAAACACAAACTAATTTCATTAAAACATCTAAAAAAATCTACAAAAGCTGAATGCCGGCAAATGATATATGTAGGTCAAATATAAGTTTTTAAAACATCAGGTAAATTGTACAGGTGTAAATAACTTTACCTGGATTGACAGGTATGTATCAATCAGATAAGTAATTAAAGGTGACAATTTCATTAAAATGGTTTTTAAATAAGGTGATATCTAAATAATTATATTTCTATAGGTTTTTTTAGGTTTTATCAAATTTTGTTGACATTTTACAAGATAATATTTCAACAAAATTTTATGCATGAAGGGATCTGTTTGTGCAAATAATGAATTACCTACCGGTAGGTTAATACACATAGTTGTTTTTATTTTATTGTCTGTACTTGTGTATTGATGTACATATTCGAACTGTTACTACACAATACCAGTGACAAGTAATTAACCTCTCCAAAACACCAGTATTATGTAGTAGATGATTACCCAGCCTGGGGTCATCGTCCTAATGAGAATAAGCAACATCTTGATTAAATTTGGAAAAATATTATACTATTTCTACATAGAAACAGAGACATATAATACAATGTATTATTTGTCTCTAATAGAAAGTATTGAATTATTGAATTTCTGGAGATAAAGTGTATTTTTAAATCTCTAATTACTTTTAAATTCTGTGATGTTTTCATAAATGTGAAAATTGCCACGGGATTGATTTTGCAAAAATTAAAAACTGACATTTTGAATTTTGATAGCATTATTGGTATGCAGCATTTCCTGAAGTCATAATAATCAACCTTGCAATAACAAATGCATGCAAAGATTGCTGAATTTACAGTAGTTAATAAGATTTTATGAGTTTGTCACAGAAACTGTTTTATGAAGGAAACTCACCACTTTGCAATTTTAAGGTATATAACAAAAATGTTGAATAAAGGAAGAGAACTTTATGCTAAATGTATTTTTTGCAATGTTTGAGAGGGATATTGTATGTTAAGCTAATTTTTTTGCTTCTGCAAAATCTGACCACAAAAAAATATCTCAGATCTATAAAATTAAACGTGTACACATCCCATGTCCCCATCCCATCCTCATATTCATTACGCTAGTCTCTTCAATTCAAGCTTGCATATAGCTTAATTTGGCTTAATTAGCTCCGCCTAAACTTTAAAAAAAAAGATCTCCCTCATGCATTTTGCAAATTTCTGTTTCTGGGTTAAAATATGGATTGCAGTCTAAAATTTAATTATGAATATCATTGTACAAAATCAGGATTTTTCTCTTTAATTTTTTTTTCAAATAAAAAGCAAAAATTAATTGCATAATCATATTCAGCAGTGCTTCTTCATATTGTCTGCAAAGTTTTGGATTGCACTCTCAAAAATCATGACGATACACCAGAGACAAAGAAATTTCATTTCAAATGAACAAAGGGAGATAATTTTATACCTTTATAGACCTTATCCTTTGCCTACTTTTATATTTCCCGACCAAGCTATATTAGTACTTACTTCAAATTCACAAAACCAGGCTTAAGTTGCAAATCATTTCTCTCATCACACAAATATTGAAATCATCCTTTTATTCTAAGAATATGTAAGGGGACAGTCTAGAAACTGACTTCTTATTTCTTGAATGCCTAAACAACAGGAACTGATTTCATTCATTGTTGTATTTTCTTTTTTAGAAAAGTATTGCAATGGATCCCAATTTCTGATATGTCTAACAGCACTGCTTACAGGGATCAAAATATAAATTTGTTCACAAAATGTCAAAATTAAGAGATCCATTAATAAGATAAAGATATAGATAGTAAGGATGCTGAAAAATAAATGACAAGCAGTATTTGCAAATAACTGTTAAGTGTACATGTGTACACTATAACTATCAGGGGAGATAACAACTGAGTTAAATCTAATTTACACAAGCCGGTAATTGCAAAATGACAATAAATTGAAACGTGCTTTCTTCACATTACCTAGAATATCATCAGGGACAAAATCCATTGTAACACCTGCACCACGCCATTAAATCAATAACAATCGATCCTAGTGCCTTCCTAATGTACGACTACTTTATATAGGTAAGTATTTGTCCTCGCAATTATGATACTCAAATTCTCCCAATTAAAGTAAACAGCCTTGTTACAAAAAAAAATATATCTCCCTGAGGCTAAAATCAATAATCCTTGAATCGACTCCATCCAATAATCTATAAAAAGTATGAATCATGATGATCGACAATAGAATTTTTCCTTTCCTCCATATGGTCTGTTTGATTTCTTTTGTCAGTGTTATTAAGAAGTGGATTGAAAATTTTTAATAAAAATAAGTATTTACTTTGACGGATTTCTAAAAAGAACACTTGCTGATAATTACACAGTAAGAAGTCTTATGATTTTGATCTCTTATTCATTTACATATTGATTAAATAGTATTCTGTTCTGACCCTACACTTTTGTGGTTTTGAATATCATGTGATTTATGATATGATGTACTTTGATGTTTAATTTGTATTTTTAATTAAAAAGGTTTTTTGAAGTGAACTACACCTGAAATGTTTTATTGCAATAGGAAACACTTTAAACATGTCACAGTTTTTTGGTGGGAGTATATATATATAAATAATTTTATAAGAAATTCACATTTATACCCCAAGGGGTTGAAGGCATATGAACAATATTATACAAATATATTTATACAATGCAAAAATTATAAAATATTAAAACAAAACATCGTATACTGGTCCTAAAACAGTAATAATATCTATGCAGGTGGTATGGTGTCCACTCTCCTCAGTGTAAATGACATTTTATTGAACGGAACCGTTTTTAAAGCTGTATAATATAATTGAAAATTTGAAAACGCTAGTATCATGTTAAAATATATATGATTAAATCTAAAAAGGGAACTTATAAATATTAAAACATGGGAAGTAAAACACAATATCAGCAAATATTGATTTCCAAAAGTTGCATCTGCTTTGTGTGCTTCAAATTATATGAAAATAAAGTAAGTTATCCCTTATTTCATCTGTTTCAAATAAAACTGTTTTACATTTGTCATTTCGGGGCCTTTATTAGCTTGCTATGCATTATGGGTTTTGCTCATTGTTGATTGCCATAACCTATAGTTACTAACTTCAACGTCATTTGATCTCTTGTGGAGAGTTGTCTCATCGGCAATCATATCACATCTTCTTGTTTTTAAATTCAAATATATTTTTATGTAAATTAATCATTTTTAAAGGTGGTGATAGTACAAACCTATTAAACCTATTAAAGAAAAATCATAAATAAACTAAGGTGTAAATGTGTATTTTTATAAATACGATTATATAGGTATAAATATTAAGTATAATTACGCATATATGTTAATTAAACTCCACACATATATATATATATATATTATATGTATATGAAATTATTAAAATGATAATATATAACTTGTCAAAATAACTGGAAAGACAGATGATAATGAGGGAAAAAGAGAGAAAGGCACAGAAACCAGAGTTATCATTCTATTCTATTACAACCGTTCTTAAGATTAACTCTTAACTTCTATACTTTGTGTATA